CTGCGGCTGGGCGAAGGCAGAGGCTGCGAACCCCCCGGAGCAAACGTTGCTTTCGCAAAGCGTTTGAGAGCAAGCGTAGGAGAGCAGGAACCGCCTCTAACATAGCACCAGCTCCAGGGTTTCCCTGATGGGCCCGGGGGTGCAGCCCAGCACCCCTGATTAAAGACAGATGTGTTGCTGGCAGGTGTGCGAGGCAGAGGGTAGAGCATGGAGAAAGCCTCCAGCCTTTCTGTAGGTTTTTGCCAAGCCATCGCACCCACAAAAGGTGAACTGGGTCCCAGATGAGATTAAGGTGAAATTTATTGAAATGCAGCAGGTTGCAGAGAGCAGGCAAGGGGTTTCAGGGAGGCACTGCTTTGCCCAGGGAGCATGCACCCCACCAAGCAGCCAAGACGAGAACAAGCAGCCCATTTTGCTCTGCTGCTCCAGAGCCAGATTTGGCTTGGACCATGCCTGAGCACTGCAAAGCGGCTTTGCAGCGGGGTAGGCTCTGGGCTACCCGCAAAGTTTCTGGGGGCCCGAGGTGGTTGGGAAGGGAGACGAGAGCAGCCTGCAACCTGCGCTAGAGCCAGAGGACTTTAATCCACCTGAGGAGAAGAATGGGTGAGCATGTTATATGCAGGAACCGAGCAGCTGTAACCCCGGGGAGCCCAACCGCACCAACTCCCAGCTCTGCTCCCGCAGCGACTGGCCAGGCCCCTGGAGAGGGCGTGCGGGGCCAGGAGCCGTCCCATCAGCAGCAAATAAGTTAAAAATCAAACAGGCGACAACCTGAGAAAGGTCCATTTTGGAAGGAGGTTAAAAGGTTGCGGGGAATTTGGTTTCTCATTTGATAGAAATTTCACCTTAATGGAAAATAAAACCGATTTGGAAGGAAAAAACCCACGAGCAACAAAAAGACATGTTAGAAATAGCACCAGGTTCCTGCTGGGGGCAGAGGGCCCGCGGCTCCTGCCGCTGTGGGAAGAGGGCGGCGAGGCCGGCCCGGGCCCGGGGCCGAGCGCCGCCGGGGC